GAGATAACACCGCGCTGTCACAGTCTGTCACGGACGGTCGTGCGTCGTCACTGCCGCGTCCTCGGACTGCTCCAGGAGAAATGGAAGGTTCAGTCTCTGGACTTCGCTCCTAGCCACTTTCAGGCACAGAGCGTGATTTTGCTCGTGCGCGATCGACCTGTTATGCGACAAAGCGACGGAGTAGCGTGCGGCAACGGGCAGTATCGATGAAAAACACACAGGACCGTATTAATAGCGCGTTCTCGCAGGGTCGATGGCGCCGACGTTGAATCTGTTAGGTTCCACCCTTATATTACAAATCATTTCCTGCAAAAAGGAGAAAGTTGACTCGCGTTAATAAATCTCACATCTTCCTCTGACAGTACACAAAAAGTAAATTACAACCCGTAATTAAGGCACTGATATAATTAAGGCCCGGTTTCACAAAGATTAACTTTAATCTCGGTTCAACTTACTTCATCCTTACTTCATCAACTTACTACTTTTCCAATTCTAAAATTGAAAAAAGATAAGGAGTTAATCTTACATTTGTGGAATTGGGCCTAAGTGAACGATTTCACTTACGAAAAACAGCACCGGTCAAGATTATTCATGTCGATGCCGCGATGCGAAAATTAACTGGCGAACGTGTCCAATCGTGACGTAATTCGCATTCGCCTGAATCAGAGTGAAGAAACGAAAGGATAGTCGATAGTAGCACGCGCTAATTAGTCCCAATTAACTGTTCTTCGCGGTGCAGGGTTATTCGTATCATAACTCTGGCTCACAGGTGCTGACAGCAGAATTAAATCTTGGCAGAGCGCACGGCGCTGAGACGGCGTTGCCGTAATCGGCTCAAAAATACGCAGTCCAGCGCTTTAGGAGGCACAGACAATTCCGCGAGGGAGAGTAAACACGCGCATTTCTCGCACACGCTGCGAATTCCTCCGGATTCTCGATCCGCCTCGCCTGATCCCTCGTCGCTGCTCGTCGCGGAATATAAACAGAAAGTCGGACGAGCGCAATCGGCGTGAAGTGCGCCGCGTATCGCGGTATCGCGCGATCGTCGGCCAACGTCACGATACGGCGTGGAAGTGCACGCCTTATCCTCGTCCATGAATGTCTTCCTCGGCCAGGAAATGAATATAACGCGAGAGAAGTGTCGATACGTCAAATCGTACCTCATGGTTCATTCTAACCCTTCCGCGAGTCTTCTTCCCCCGGTGACTCTCCGTGAGTCAGACACACTTTCTCGACACAACTCGCTCGCTAGCTCACTCTTTCTCTCACGCACACTCGCGAAATTGTATCGTGTCGTCGTCGTTCTCACCTCGTTTGCCGCGCAGTATCCCACGGTGTCCAGGATGTCCTAGGCAACGTCGGATCTACGAAGGCACGAATGTGCGATCCGTGTTGATTCGCACCCCACGGCGCATCGGCTTCGTTTACTCCTTGATTCTCTTCGTCCGTCCGTCCGTCCGTCCGTCCCTTTCTTTGTCGGGAACTCGCGTGTTTGTCGTGTCTGATCGTGTCCTCGCGTACATACGTACGCGATAAGATGGGACAAAAGCGCAACGGGTACAATTGCACTGCGAATTCGCGCGAGACTGGTTTTATCACTACACAATCACTGCGAGACGGGCGTGTCATCGCACGCTGACTGATCTCCCGCGTGCCATCGTGAAGAAATACCACGCGAGAGTACTCCCGTCGATTCGCGGAAGGTGGCCCCGTGCACAATCGAGATTCGAGACGGGTGTATTAATGGCAGGAATGGCACCGAGCGACTCGGTGCCTCGTGATTCGTTTTTTCGTAGCTGAACTTTTTATATCGAAAAAAATTCTTAGAATTTTTATATGTATTATTATTTTATGTATTCTGTATACAAGCGCGCAATAAAATTTAAAAAATAAATTAAAAATCTTAAAATATTTCAAAATTCATATATATATGAAAAATTCTAAGAAAAGACGTATATTTCTAAGTACCTCTAAAAATGTTTCAATTCGTATAAAAATTCTTGAAGAAACATTTTTTAGAGATACTTAGAAATATACGTCTTTTCTTAGAATTTTTTATATATATAAATTCTGAAATATTCTAAGATTTTTATTTATTATTTTAATTTTATTGCGCATTTTTGTATACAGAATACATAAAATAAGGTAAAGCACCAACGAACTTGTTGTTACAGAGCCCAGAAATGAAGTGTAAAAGAATCATGGAAACAGAGACACGCAATTTTGTAAGATTTCATCAACATTCTAATATGAGAAATTTTAAAAATCTTAGAATATTTTAGAATTCACATATGTAAAGAATTCTAAAAAGAATGTATGTATAGAATTTCTCGATCCTTTTGAAGTGTTTCAACTTGTATAAAAAAAAAACTAAAAAGTTCCAAAAAATTCAGATATTCTGAAAAATTTTGAAATTTATATAAAACTTCAGAAAAATTAAAATTTTTACCAGGAGAGAAGCATGAAATGACGTAACACGAGGACAGCATTCCGTGGCAATTGACACTCATTTTTCAATGAGTTTTACAGAGAGTAAGAGAAAGTTCTTTTCTTTTTAAAATATACTCATGTATCGAATTACGTTTGTATTTGCTAAAGGCGCATTGAAGATCGAAGAATGCGAATTAAAGATTAGAATTTGACAATCAGATAAGTTTAGTTTTATCTGTATTCTTCGAATTTAAAATCAAATCGTGATAAATTCTAATCTCCAATTCGCAATTCCCAATTTCCAAAACCCGCAGTCTTAGGCCGGAATCAGACTACGCATTAAAAAATGAGATTGAAGATTGAAAGATTGAAGTTTGACCAATCTTCCAATCCAGAATAAAAGGAGCCAAAATTTCTTTGTCTTCATTGGTGAAATTTCAATCTTTATAATCTTTAATCTCAATCTTCAATGCATAGTCTGATTCCGGCCTAAGACTGCGGGTTTTGGAAATTGCGAATATGCTTCATGAATATTAAAGGAACGTTCTTATTATTGTAGAAGACAGAGTTTCTTTCCTTTCTCATAATACCTTTCTTTTTTTCCTTTCCTTCTATCCGACATATAATTATATTGAAATAAAATAAAATAGATAATGTTAGACATTTTACTTGACATTTATTAGATCTAATTATATATATTTAGCTGCTTTCTCTTTAGGAGACGTAATGCCGGTCTATCTTTATTTATTCATCGAATGCTAAGAAAGACAGAACGGCATTTGTGTCGATTGTGTTCCTTAAAAGAGAAAAATAATTTCACTTCACTTTAAACGAATTCTAGATGATACAACACGTAACGTCCAAAGAATGGATTCGAGCGATGGTCAGTTTCGGGACAAAACATCGAATTTAATTCTTTAATATCAGTGACATCCAAATGACAATAATTTGAACTTCATGAAACTTCGTCTTTGTGGGTTGAGAAATCCATTAGGGGGAAAAAAACAAAAAGGAAAGAATAATAATTTAAATGAAAAATATAGAATGCTTTCCTAACAAAAGACAATGAACCATTACATCCTTGTTGTTTGTCGATTAAACAATGATAAAATAATCATTGTGTTACACTGCACTGAGAAAAATATTATTCATTTGAAAAAAATCATTAAATTATGTTTGACTTAAATACATAAAAATTAAATACGTTAAAATACATACCGATAAAAGAAATAAAGACAACTAAATTAATTTAATGTGTCAAATAAATAATTTTTTTAAGTGTGTTTTTTATTGGAAAGCACAATAATAACGATGATGAGTTAGCTTTACACAGAATTTCAAGAATAAAGGCGTCCTGTTTCACAGAAATGATTGATACGCTCACCTGCACCTTCACATGAATTAAATTCGTATTCGGACATCAATACGGTATTCTCAATACTTTCAAAAATAGCTTCGAGTAACTATGTCGATCCTTCAATCCTAAAAAATAAACCGTCTAAAGTGCCGAATGTGGAACGAGTTGAAAGCGAAATTTGAATTACAGAGTTGTCTTGTAAATGCAAACGATAAACTTGACACGATCGCGACCTGTTTGAAATGCAAGCGAAATCGTTCGAATGCAAAATTTTAACATTTATCTTTCACTATTACAATTGATATTTTTGCGTTGGTCGATCGAATTGCATCATAATTGTTCTAGCTTAATTCTCAATAAGATTCCTCATTTCCTCATCGCCCACGAGAGTATTAATTAATAAAGCTGTTGCGTCGCAGTTGCGCTGGAACAACGCACAATATGATAAGACGTATGCGTCATTTTGCGTCTGTGAAGTCGTTGATTAGTTCGAAAGCGTTAGAAAATCACTTCACGGAAGACGATAAGAGAACGTCCTACTCGCTTTCCGGAAACGATGAATCAACGTCGTCGCGAAAAATTTAAAGACTTTAAATTCAGTCCTGAAAATATTCGCAGCTACCTAGATTCTTATGAATGCGGAATAAAAGTGCAAGGATACGGCAAATATATTTGCTAGAAATAATTAAAAAATGTAAAAGATAAATTTAAAAATAAACCATGGTGGAAGTATCCACTTGGAATAAATATGTGAGAGAAACAGAACTTTATAATCTGTGATACGTTCCGCAACTGAAAGTATCCTTGATTTTAATAAAATTAATTTATGATAAATTTATCATAAAATTGATTCATAATAAAAGAAAATGAAATTGGAAAAAACGTAATGGGCGAAGAGATTAAAATACTCTATAAAGTTCCAGGAATTATTTCAGAAGTTTGGATAAAGGTGGCACAAGTCAAATTTTCCAGTGAATCAAACATTGTATTTTCATTTCAAAAACTCCAGCCTCATTTTCTTTATATAAATGTATAGGTCTGTTTTTTACAGCTGAATTAAGTATATACACTTTTTTGTACTTAAAGTGAAATAGATATGTGTTTGAAATTTGAAGAAAGCGAGAAGAAGAGTTCTAGTTCAAGTCTAGTGCAGGAATAAAATATAAACTTTCTGTCATTTCATAATACAAAATCTCTTGCAGAACGAGATTTTACAATCTAATCTAAAAAATAGACGGAGTGAAACAACCGTCGCTATAATTCTATTTTTCTATGTTCTAAGAATTAAAAGAAGATGAAAAAAGCAAATTGAATCGAAATTGAAGTTAATTTACATTTATAAAAACGTGCATAAATTAACTGAAGATAGTGAAAGAGATCCTTCATTACATAAGGCATTAATTAATTTCAAAGGATTAAAAATTACATAAAAAGAATGAATATTAAATAAATAAACTTTAATACGAATATTCCAAATTTGCAGACGTGACATCAAGAAAATTCAATTGTTTGACATTTTTAACAAAGAGTTTTCTAATTAAGTTTCACAACAAACCTACTCAGCTCTGGAGGATTCAATGAGTTCTATAATATACTGGAGCATGCCATTGAGAAGCGTGAATATCCCAATTTCCTAAACAATGACACTCTGATAATAAAAGATTATATTGTTTTCTTTGTTAGAGACTGTTGACTGGCTAATACTGTTGCAAGAAAGAGTAAAAAAGACAAGACAACAATATTTGTTTGCCTTTCTTCTCGATTATCGAGCTACAGTTTTTTATAATTTAATATAGACAAAACGCAGTCAAAATTCTGGGCATAACAAGAAAAAATAAAAAAATATGCTCCAATACATTATAGAACTCACTGGGAGAATCAAACGCACTTAACCTCTAACTTAATTCTTGATCTAAGCAACAATCTAAAAACAATAACGTTGCTCTTTTTCTGTTATCTTTCGAGATCTACTGTTTATCGCTCAGTTCTTTCAGTTTATCTAACAGTGCGTTCCCGAATGAATTCCTGTACTGCGGACTGACGAAGTTCAGGAGGCCGTAGGGCGTCTCGAAACGCTCATTGCTCGCGTTCGACGTATCGTCGTGCCGATTGCCGACGATGGCGAAACCGGCAGCCGATAGTTCCACGCAAAACCGCAGACCCTCCAGCGTGATCAGGTTTAGATAGATAATCTGGTTTGTGCTGGTCAGCCGCTCAGACATCCTTAGATCCTGCACGTGCTTTTTCACGTCATTGATTACCGCCTGGGCTTCCAACCGCCACTGCTCCGCGTCCAGCACTCGGTCTGCGTCGTCATTCCGCATCATGAGAACGCAGATTCCTCTTAGCTACGACTGAAATCGCTCTAACTCTCTAATGAGTCTAACCGTGAATGATCAACGATTTGAATAAATCCGAACAGTTCATGGTGGACAGTTGGACTTCAAAATTCGAAGTCCAACTCCGGAGTATAAAGGTACCTTTTCATACATCGCTCATCGCCATCGTTCATTAAGTGAAAAAAGATCACGTGACTGACAATTCACCAATGACATTTCAGTCACTGAATTGTCAGTTCTTATCATTAATTTAAACGTATAAAAAAGTACCTTGATATTGCAAACATAATATTCTTGACAGGTCACAACTGTTTTCTTTAAAAAAAACTTTTTACAATAAATCAGAAATTAGAAGCTAGAAATTGATTAACCATAGGCGATTAATTATCCTTTTCACATTCGACTATGATTGGTCAATTTATAACTTCTAACTTCCGATTTATAACTAATGACTTATTGTAAATTACTGTTTTAGTTTATAATAAAAAGACAATCTAATAAGTTCTACGAATGTAAATTAATCTTAATTCATATTTTATCCTTTTCTAATTCTAGAATTAGAGAAAGAAAAAGTAAGTTAAAGTGAGATTAAAGTTAATCTCTATTGGCAGAAACAAGCATAAAATATACTCTTAAATATGTATCTATTAATTACATAAAAAGACCTACAATTGCAACAAATATTCTCATAGAATCAATCAATGGAACATCTGCTCGATAAATGTGCATATTCTAGATAATATTTCTGTATGGTTTAATAAAAAAAACTTACACGAAAAATATATTATGTATCTTTAGCCTCATTGTATAGCTCATATATTTTATATTTATTAAAAATACTTATTTGAATAATGGTATTATAATCACATATATTGGACGTTAATAAAAATGGATACAATTAGGAGAATATCATTTGTTGTACAAGCTCGTTCGCTTCTTTATTCAAATAGTTTCTCTTTTTATCACGCTCATTGTTTTGCCAGTTCATACGTATCGTCTATGCTCAAGTCACTCAAGTCTTCCCCCCAACCATTAACGTCATGTTCTTCCAAAGTAGCACCCGACGTCTTCACGTCGAACATGCTCTTCGGCGATTGCACTTCTGGGACGTGTAAGATCTGCGTCTTCTGTATCACAGGCTCCATATCGGTGAAAAAATCGAATTCATCCTTCGGAGATTTTATTACCTTCGAATTCTTTATATCAAGCTCAGTAATATCGTTAAGTACTAGTTTCTTTGTATACTTTGACTTCTCAAAGTTCGATGGTAAATCCAACAAGGGTGAGGATGAGTCCGTGTCGCAAGGACCTTGGATTTCCGCTTGCATATCGTTGGAGGGAGCTTCTTCTACATTACAATGACCATTCGCAACTGGTTCTTGCGTTTCCCAATCCGACCAGGTGTATTCCTCCTCGGCGAATGAAAATTCCTTCTCCTTCTTATCCTCACCACCATCTGGCGATGGTCTTTCCGCTAAATGAACGTTGTTCTCGTCTACATTCACGAAGACGGGCATCTCTTGAGTGAACGTTAAAGCTTTCCTAATATCATCGAGATTTTTGTTGCGAATCATTTTCTTATTTGGCCGACCGTCCGTAAATAATTTCCCCCGGTTTCCACCGATAACCGCTGCCGCGCCCAAAATTGGCACTATGTCAGCCAATGCCCTTAACGTGGCGCAGACGAGATCGTCGTTGGTGTCTTTTATTCCAACGAGTAATTCGGGAAGAATGTGATTTTTCAATTCGTCAGCTTCGAATACGTGAACGAACGAACTGAAATGGGACAACAGCAGCAGACGAATAGAAACATCTCGAATACAAAACATTTGTAGAAGTCTTGGTACTAAGATAGTCTTAAAAGTAGAAATTGTAAACAGACTAGTTCCTAAATCGTTTTTTTCATCTGCAAGAAATAGTAAGCATTTTGTTAGGTTATTATTACATGAAACAAAGATTTTAATATGTATCAAATAATTTTATAATAAAGATAACTGATCATGCTAGATGCGACAGATATATCCTAACCTTTGGGTTTAAAGATAAAAGGTAAAAGCTTTACTTGGGCAGTGCTATCCAACAAAACTATCCTAGAAAGAAGCACTCTGCCTAGTTGTTCACCAACAACAGCTTCGGGATACATCTGTAGTTGCTGCCTTAATTTCCTAAAAAATTACAAATTTTCTAAATATGATTTTTATGGTACATATTATGTAATAAATTAACATATTTTCTCTGAAAATTCTTACGTAAAAAATTCTTCCCTTTCAATATCAGTTTTTAATGGTAATTCCTCCAAAAATGCATGTATCCTTATAAATTCATGAGTGAAAAATGAATGCTGTAGTACGTTTAATAATCTATTTCTCAAATATGCATCTGAATTTTGCAGATTCTTTTTACAAAATTCACTAAATTCGAGCAAGTTTGGTGCTTCATCTGAAATTAATTGAAATTTAATACATTTTAGCACATACTCAACAAGGACAACATTTATGACATGACTTTTATATACCTGTATCTTTTAAATTCTTCAAAATGTCTTCTGCTAATACTCCAAATGCGTACGAATCAATTGCAGTGAGATTAGCAGTTTTAACTAAATCAGCTATATCTTCATTCGACGATATCGCTTTCTCGTATCTGTAATTCTTTATTCGTTGATAATACGTTGGCGATGCATCTGCGAATTTACACAAGCATTCCAATCCACCCAATTTCCAATATCCCTCTGCAGTAACGTAAATAGAACTATTGCACACGTTATTATGTGACGCCAGTGCGGTCTCATGCAGGAATATTAAGGCTCGTAGGATACTGTGCAAACCGATACATATTTGCAGTATATTCTGCTTTTCGATTACTTGGACCAGTGGCCTAGCCTCTTCCGTAGCGAGAAAGAATTTGCTACCTTTGCTCCAGGAAGAAATATATTTCAGGATACAGGGATGCCGATGTAACATAAAATTCTAAAACATACATTAAATCCATTTATTTCTTATAATTTTATTTTTACGATACATGTGTATATGTTATATAAATATCTATAAAATATTTTTTGAACTATTTGGACATTTTCTAACAGAGAACACATATCAATACCGAAGTCCTTCTGTTTTTACTAGATATTCAATGAGACAAAAAACAGAATAACTTTTTTGTTTATTTGTATTTTTTGCTGGAAAACTCTCTTTATCTTGACAAGCCTGGAAATGAGAATGCTTTGAAATCATATATGATTTTTTTATAATACATTATGAATTATAGTATACAAAGAAATAGTATAAAAAAATCATATGATTTCAAAGCATTCTCATTTCCAGGCTTGTCAAAATAAAGAGAGTTTTCCAGCAAGAAATACAAATAAATAAAAGTCATTCTGTCTTTTTATCTCATTCATTTATTGAGTAAAAACAGAAGAACTTTTCTGTATTGATATGTGTCCCCTGTCAGAAAATTTTCAAATAGTTCAAAAAATATTTTAAATACTTGATGTTTTTCAGCAAGACACAGTGTAACATAGTAAATCATTTCAGCCTTATTGCAAAACATCAATAAACAATAAAGATTTATTACACTGTGTTATCTGTGTCTTTTGTTAGAAAGCACTCTATGTCGAGTAATATCATCAAACGAAAAGCATCCTCAGCTTATAGCTATTTTCCAGTAAAGACACAGTATAACACAAATCATTACAACCTCATTATTTGCCCATATTAAAGAACATGATTCACTGTGTTATCTGTGAAAAACACCTGGTATACAGTGAATCATTTTATCTTTTCAACATTGGCAAATAACAAGGATATAATGATTCACTATGTTACATTGTATCCTTGCTGAAAAACATCTATATCCTTGGAAAACATCTTATATGTGTTTTAAAAGAATATTAAAATATATAAAGGTCAGAATAGATGTCAACCTTTGCCGCTCGCTCCAACGGTGACGGTCTTCCAAACGTCGCTGCAAAGTGTAAGGATGGTTCACTGATGAAGATGGACAATCTCTGCAGGCTCGAGTCGTGCACGTAAGCATCGTAGTGCATCCAGTAATCCGTTACCTCGACGGCCTTGTCTTCGATTTCGAGACCACGAAGAGCACTCTTTTCGTTCCCCATTAGTCGATCGACGTATATATATATATATATACTGACGCGACAGCTGTCAGCTACATCGAATGCGGGAACGAATCGCCCGATTCAAAGAACATTGAGAACACGAGGCTAGGAGCTACGAGTTCCATTTGATTTACATTCTCTGTACGATTCTGCGAATGATAAAATCATCACCAATCGCCACTTGATAAATTCCAACATTCCAATCGGGCTCTGATAACATCGAGCTTACGTTTACATCAAGATGTCCTTTTTTTAAGTAAATTTTGTATGCGAAATCTTTCAATCCTTTTTTGAAGTTATATAACGTCTAGAAATTATTCCATTACTCTTGTATCTCATTTACTTTCTAATTTAAATAATTCTCTTTACAGAATTAAATATTATTTTCTCTCCTCCCAGTTTTCTCTTATGTGCCAAGCGCCAAGGTGTCACTTTCGTTAGGTTAAGTCGAAGGAATTACTGCGATTGATCGATTACTATCTCGAATCTCGGGATCAATTTGTATACTTTAAAACTAGGTAAAAATTATAAAAATAAGTAAATTTATAGTATTGTTCAATAAAATTTACGTTCGCCAAGTTTACTTGTCAAAAGAAAAAAATATTATTTTATTTAAATATATAATATTAAATATATATTTTAAATAAAATCTCTATTTACATTATCAACGACACAAACATGTTTAATTGAAGATTTATTTGGAATTCTTTCCCTCTGATTTGCATTTTTTCCAAGATGATGCGTCCTCCGTGGTTTTGTACTTCTACCACACGGCTGAGAAAACGTAAAGCCGGTCGACTACCCCTTTATGCGAAATATTCATTGTTAATTCGTTCGTTACGTTAAGCTACTATACCGACAGCGAAAATTATAATGAAAAAATAATGAGCTACGATAATAAGAAGAGAATGAGAGCGGCACAGTACACTGACACATGCACACACTTAATTTTACGCGAATTTTTATTAAATCGCCATTGAAAGACGTATAAAGCAGTCGCGTTAAGAGATCGGCGTACCGAATAAAT